AACAGTAATTTTGTGAAAAATTGTGTAATATATGACTAATATCAGTGTTTTATTAAATATTCTGTGTATAAATGACACATTACGGACCTTCAAAACACAAAACTTTATTTCAGACTGTTATCTCTGTGTATATGGTTACGACGAGGCTATACAAGTTAACTTTCCAGTAACAGACCAAAAGAATGAGAGAATTGCTTCCTTAAAATTTTTGATAGTTTACAGAATGACTAAAAAGTCTAGAAAGAAGACACTGAGGTCTTGTCTTGAATATTTTAAAGATTACAATTTAACCATTCATTGTTTTAATTACCGAACAATTTTGCTGACTGTGAAAACGTAGTGTTGACTCAACCAGCATCGTCAAATATGTTTACGGTAAATGTATTAAATACTATTATATCAAATGGATTACATAATATAGTTAAATGTAATGAGTGTGATTTGTTTGTTTGTTTGGCATAAAGCTACACAAGGCCTACTTTCAATAGCCATCCCTAATCTTGAACTGAAAGACTGGAGGGAAGAAAGATAGTCAATAAAACAGCACCCACTCTCAAACTCTTGGGCTATTCTAATGAAGTAGTGGGATTTGACTGTTATTCCTATAATGAAGTGAGGAGTGCAGTTTGGTGCAAGAACACATGAACCGTAGACACTTGGATTCACAGATCAATGCATTAACCACTAAAGTAGTCCAGTCAAAATCACCATGAAAATTCAAATATCTCTCACAAATAAATAATCCATAAATGAATGTGATATTTTCATGTAGAAAGGCACATTTTAATTAAAAATATCTCACTGTGCAAGAAATACAATCACTACACACATAAGCCAACATCAGGGCTATGCCTTACTATTTCATTCTATCATAGTTCAAGAAACTGTCTAATGCTTGGTTTAAAGCCAATAAAGGAATTGATTACACCATAACTAAGATAAGTACATTTAATTATAAAAGGTAAGACTGTAATGTTTCATTATTCTACTACTGAAACCTGTAATGTCTATAGACATTAACGTAACTTATAATTAAGTTTAGACACAAACATAATTTGATCACTTCAGCCATTTTCATAAATTCTTAAACTAAGAATTTGACCACTGGTTTTATACTTGAAAAATAATAATTCTATTTTACTCGAAATAAATAAAAAATATATAAAATTATAATCTCATCATTGAAGCCAGGATTTTCATGCCCTCAACTTCAACAGTTGAAGTTCAATGAAGACTCTATCATACCCTCTCACCGAGTCTATCTCATTCTCAACGTAAACGATCGATATAAATTTGATGTACAAATTACTTTGCGAGACACTGAACATGAATTTTGTCATTAGTGTTAAATTAAAATTAATAAATTATCACTATGTGAACATATATACAACGTATATAGCTATAAAGTATAATATAAATAAACCGTTTCTTGGTAATACAGTAAGCCTACCCACCTGCCAACAAAATTTTCAAGTACGCTACTTTTGCCTGCACTCTGGCCTCCTACTACGGCAATTTGCGGTAAATCTAAGGAAAGACTAACTCCTAATTGTGTAAATGCATCTTGAAGTTTATTAACTAGAGGAATAAGATGCTCCAGTCCTTCATTTCCAGACATTTCTAATGAAAATTATAATAAATCCACTTTTTAAAAATTCCTACATCCAATTTCAATTTGCTATTTGACTGTCAGTGTCAAAACCTCTCTATTATTATGTTTCACATACGACTTCCCTTACTATGACGCATGCGCAATATACAGTAATTGATTACAACTGATACTGACTCGAATAATTTAGTGCCCTCTACCGTACTGGGATCGATTTACGAGGAGCGGAATATAACTCGTGAATTATTCGGGCCGTATTAATACTAGAATGTAGTAAGTTATCATAATTTGTAATTTTAATTACGTAAATGAAAATAGTTATTAGATAGGGATTTTCAAAATTATGTGCTGTATTTCAATGTGATATATGGCTTTTTTTTCGAAAAGGAAACTGTAATTAAACTAGCGCCACTACACTTTTTTTTTCTGCTAATAATGACAAAGGTTTTCTCTTAAAAATTGACGGTAGGTCGCGTATACCGACCTCTTTGGTACGTCGGAATATAACAGTGTGCTATTCTCGTGTTTTATCCAGTTCAAGAGCAAGTTTAATTTTATTACCAACATAAATTTTATATATCTAATGTTATAAGTAGTAAATACCTTTAAAATTATTTGTTGAGGTCGTCACAAATATAACCACCATTATCCTGCGAATAATAAAAATATCTGCACATAAGAGAGAATAATGAATAAATATATGCAAAATGCAAAACAACTACAAAAACAGAATATTGTTGGAACGTGGACCAACTAGCTGCCTTCCCTCTAGTCTTACACTGCTAAATTAGGGACGGCTAGCGCAGATAGCCATCGTGTAACTTTACGCGAAATTCAAAAACAAACAAAAACAAACAGCTTCCTTCCCTCTAGTTTTTCACTGCTAAATTAGGGACGGCTAGCGTAGATAGCTCTCGTGTAACTTTACGCGAAATTCAAAAACAAACAAAAACAAACAGCTTCCTTCCCTCTAGTTTTTCACTGCTAAATTAGGGACGGCTAGCGTAGATAGCCCTCGTGTAACTTTGCGCGTGTAACTGAAAATGAGAATACGACCTTTTTGTTTGCGGACTTACAACGCTAGAAACCGGGTTTCGATACTTGTGGTGGGCAGAGCACAGATAACCTATTGTGTAGCTTTGCGCTTAACTTCAAACAAACCGAATTACAGCTTCATAAGCTCTCCACTGGGAGTAGTTAGGTAGCTTATTGCAACATATTGTTACGTCTCCGTTCGCTAGTTAATTTTCCGTAACTTCGTTCCGACGAAACTTCAGCGACACAAGTCCTTTCTTAATAAAACTGGTTTATTCTTTCTGAATATAACTTTGCGATACACTTAATTTCAACAGTCGCGCTATAACAAACGTCTCACGTGCTCGACTTCAACAATACTCAATTACACACTCTCTGACTGCAGTTCAATTACTCATTACACTGTTCCGTCATGTTGTGACCGTCTTATATATATATACCAAACTACCCCCAAGCTAGTAGTCTTCCAATAATTCATGAAGGTTCGAGAAGGACGTGGCGTGATACTAGTCACGTGACCTCGCTGACGCAACAATACCTATGTTACAAAACCGTTAAAAAATAGCAAAACGTTCAACCACACAAAATGGAGAAAAACATCGTCATTTCAAAGTTTATGATAAAAACAAAAATAATTATTTGTAAAAATATACAATTTAGTTATTTTGAATCACTTTTAACTATTGTCTAATTAAACTAGATAGTTTGAGTATTTTTATAGTAATTTCTTTTTGCGAAGAGAGAATATTGTGGTACAGATTTAAAAACGGGACATAATTATTTTTAAGATTATAATCAATAATTAAAAACAACGAGTAACTCCTGAAGATAAACTAGTACTTGTTGTTTTAAAGTTTTAAATTGTGTAAATTGTAAACATTGTTTTTTTTTATTATTTATTGTAATTCATACAATTATTTTTGTTTTTGATACATAACGAGACATAATTTTTTCATCTTAGAAAATAAAAAAACACCTAGGCTTACTTTAGGTAACAAACCTATATCATAATCAACTAAAGACTTCATCAGACCGCCCTCTGGTGGCTCAGTGGTAAGCCTGAGGACTTGTCGTCTCGAAGCTATGCTTTTACTCGTAGTTTCTGAACTACAAATTTTGAAATTTAGTTTAATAAGACTGATGTGATTTGAGAAAATAGAATTAGCAACAATACACTCAAAATAAAATAATAGACATTGTTATAGACTGTGTTTTTAATCTATATCTTTCTAGAAATTTGTAATGTTTATTGGCTGACGGGAGGTTTAACGCAAGGTGACTGGCGTGGCTTCACTATGGGAACTTTCTCCGATGTTTTAGAATAGTTTAAGCAATATAAAACGCATGTTAGGTTAGAATAGATGAAGTAGTGAGTTGTTATTTGACTGATTTTGTTAATCAATTAATTAGTTCAGTTTGGAATATTAAGCTTGGGTTACGACAGAGTTGTAAAAGATACGAACAAGTGAAACTGTTATATTAACGTCTACCTTGAACTTAGGCTTATCAGCGAACGTCAGTTAATACAACTTACAAAACGCTTTTGTTATCTTTAAGTGGACTGTAGTTTTCATTCTTATTTTGATTGAATAATACAAAAGAATCCGTCCAACAATAGTGACAGTTACAACAATATAATTATGAGATATCTGTCGGGTTCAGGATAAGTAGAGGATCAGGTTGAACGTTTTCCTTCTGGCTAGAGATTAAGCCTGACCGTTGATCTATCAGAAATATCCCTACTAGCATATCAAATATTAAAAAACGAATTTTGTGAGTCGTAAAGTTAAGTAGGTAACGGAAGGCTGGTACTAAATAGTTAAACTAACAGTGTACGTACTTAAATCCTAAAATCCCCGGTACCATTTCTAAATCCCTTTCTGCGCATGTCACAAAGTGTTACTGAGTTGTATTCAAAATTTAATTCAACCACTTTGTTATCAGTGTATTTTAATGAAATTATTATTATCAAGTACGTTATGATTCAAAGTTTTATATTATTTAAGTTTTTATTTCTTTATTTCAAAAGAAACTGCCAACGGAATAAAATTAAAAACTTTACGTTTGCTCTCACTTGAAGTGCAAATGGCTATAACAACCAAACTTTATCACTTTGTTATACAAGAAACGACCTGAAAGAAAGCCTGGTACTAGAGCCAGTCAAGAAATAATTATTTTAACCACTATTGTTTTAACCACGTAGTTTATAAATAATGGCTAATAAGCAAATGAAATTACAATAAAATTATTGAGCATTAAAAAATGTGCAAACGTTGCGAGGTATTTTCTGTGACAAAACAACTTTAAAGCCCTATAGGCTAATCAAATTAAAACCAGTTTAATAAATTATCGTATCAGTTATAGTTTGAACTTTGATAATTTCTGTACTCAAAAGAGGTCGCTCTTCGTGATAAATGCTACTTTAAATATGTTTTGAGTGAAAAACATCATTTCGTATTTTTTTATTTTGTCACAGAGTTTTTTTTTCCTTTCATTTATTATAATAAAAAATAACCAGACATTATAAACTTTTCTGAAACTGTCCTGCCATCTATAGGGAACTAACTGATACTTTTGAGCTCATTGTGGAAGAGAGTGCCACTTGGAGGCTGCTGTAGTTCAGTGTAAAATAATATTATTGTAATGAGCTTTTTTTACAATACGAAACACGCTCAACATACAAGGAAAGTTTTGGGTACACATAAACCCTAAAATTTAAGCAGATTAAATGTTTTATTGTATTCTAAATAATACAACATTCACGCACATGAAGAGTTTAAGGTAAACAGCTGTAAGCCCCCTCCAGTGTCAGAATTCGTAACTGAACTTGTTGGAATTCCTGTGAGTTTCCATTCCTGGATTCTTCTTGGTCCCCTGATGTTCAGAAACGTAACAAGTTTCTTACGAATTCATCTCAGAACATGTAAGTTTTGAGATAAAGTATACACAACTCGACACAGACAATTATTAAAAGTATTCCACATGAGATGATCACGTCTTTCTTTTAATTCAGAATCTGAGACATAAAAAAATAAAACGTGTGTTTTGTGAATCAAAAAGACAGAAAAACCTTTGACAAAAAATTAAACGTACTGAGTGTAATTAAAGATTAGTTGAGTGTTTTATGTACAGAGTATAAGAAATTAACGGAAAATATTCACAAGAGGTCGCTTTTGGATTAAGGAGCGTATAAGGAGAGAGCTTGAACTATCTTGGGATCATGGCGGGATCCTTCCTTGAATTCCTCTATTGTCAGTCTGTTGTCGTTGTTCTGTTAAATAATAACAAATAAGACACGAAAATAATTTAAAAAAAAAGGGTTATCGACGAGAGACTACTTTATGTCAAACATAAAGACACTTTTAACAAGCTTTTCTACACAGTAATAAGATGCTATTTAACTATCACCTTTCAAGTTTGTTAAGCCTAATTTTCCGAAAATTGAAATAGCTCAACGGTAAGTGGTTCAGTAAAATCTTATTTCGCGAAGAAAAAAAATATCATCAATATTTTTAACTTGACAAACAACAATGAACATGAATTATTCATAGTCAATTGTTTCTTAGTATCAATTTACAGCAACATTATTGGAACTATTAACGAAACGACCAATTCTGTGTATCGTTGTCATTTACCTTGTCAAGCTGTTCGAAGATTCGATCCACCCGCCGTCTGGGAGATTCATTTTCATCTTCTTCTTTGGCCTGCGAACCCTAACGACGAAAATAGAACTTGATGCTGTATTTGAATGTTTCTAACAGAACAATTAACACTACTGTCATTAAAAGTAAGACGAATATCTGGAAGAACTTATGCTACTATACTATTACACGTAGGGCGAGTTCGCAAATTTTCATTTTTAAATATCGTACAATTTTACTATACTTGAAGATATTACGTTGATATTCATCAAGATATATATACAATAAAGATATAATCATGGGTAATCCAGTTTCATCAGTTCTAGCATAATCATGGGCAATCCAGTTTCATCAGTTCTAGCATAATCATGTGTAATCCAGTTTCATCAGTTCTAGTATAATCATGTGTAATCCAGTTTCATCAGTTTTAGTATAATCATGTGTCATCCAGTTTCATCAGTTCTAGTATAATCATGGGTAATCCAGTTTCACTAGTTCTAGCATAATCATGTGTAATCCAGTTTCATCAGTTCCAGCATAATCATGTGTTACCCAGTTTCATCAGTTCCAGCATAATCATGTGTAATCCAGTTTCATCAGTTCTAGCATAATCATGTGTAATCCAGTTTCATCAGTTCTAGCATAATCATGTGTAATCCAGTTTCATCAGTTCCAGCATAATCATGGGTTATCCAGTTTCATCAGTTCCAACATAATCATGGGCAATCCAGTTTCATCAGTTCTAGCATAATCATGGGTAATCCAGTTTCATCAGTTCTAGCATAATCATGGGTAATCCAGTTTCATCAGTTCCAGCATAATCATGGGTTATCCAGTTTCATCAGTTCCAGCATAATCATGGGCAATCCAGTTTCATCAGTTCCAGCATAATCATGGGTTATCCAGTTTCATCAGTTCCAGCATAATCATGGGCAATCCAGTTTCATCAGTTCCAGCATAATCATGGGTTATCCAGTTTCATCAGTTCTA